CATACATTTCTTGTATTACACTCTGTTTCAAGCTCACGTAACAATGGAATGCAGCCACTAAGCAGGACTTGACCGCGTTTCTCTAAATGTGACTTCAGTCTACTGTAGTCTAGACCAGTGATCAAATTATTCAACAAAAGAACGCATAAATCCACGTGTTTTAAAATTTTATGTATTATATAAAACCCATTTTCGTGTTTGCTAGCTTTGCTGTTTATTAAAAAGACTGAATCCATATTTGGTATGTACACATTTCAACTTATCGCCATCAAAGAGGCGATAAAAGTCAAATTTCATGGTCGAGTGGTTAGCATTCCTACTTTTTTTTTAACTGTGAGCCCCAGATTTAAATCTCGGCCCGAAAACTGCATTCATTGACTCAGGTTTTCGTGGTTTTTCTCAGTTCTCCCACTTAAATACATAGTACATTAAATTAGGTCACTATCGATTTCTTCCACACTGTTTCAAAGTTAATATTTATTTATCATACTATTATTCGACCCAAAATAATCTTCACGACTGACAGCGACGTTAAATAAGCATCACATAAATAAATAATCAGATAAATAAGACCAGAATAGAAGACAATTTGACATCCCAACTCGTTCGCTACTAACATTATTATTAATAATTTATTCTTTACCTTTGTTTCAACATATTTTTCAGTCCCCAATCTTTATTTGTGTCGTAAAAGTGACAATTGTCTCGAATATTGAAATCTATGTTCGAATGCAATATATAATATCGAAAATACGTGCACAGAATATTTTCGACCTTCTGCGATAATTGGTGTCACTGCAGGAACTACGTCGATGACGTGACCACAAGAATCGATAGTGGAACACTCTATTTAGCTCTCATAGTGTCACGTGATGTGGCGCCTCGGTGAGCCGTTCATAATCCTGCCAGCTGTTTGAACACGTGTGCTCACGTGTCGTACCGACCTAGCAGCACGTTAATCTGACAATTTCTTCTACCCAACACGGATTAGACTCGAGCTTGTCGGGACTTCACGGTCATATTTTAGATCGTCAACGTGTGTCTGTATCCCCACCCTTTTTTTTTGTAATGAAATGTAAGTTTTGTAAGATTATTTTCCGGGCCTGTTTAATTTATTAAGTAAAAATAAACATGGAAAGATGTAAGTTTTGTAAGATTATTTTCCGGCCTGTTTAATTTATTAGGTAAAAATAAACATAGAAAAAATTCATAGACAATTGACTAGGGAGTCTATGGTTGGTAACCCTGTCGCTCATTACTTTTTATGACACATCAGTGTAGCTTTATTTTATGTTTTACAGCAATCATCCAATTTCTTTGGGAAATTATCTTAAGTAGCGTTAACAACTTGGATAAGTAGCACTGAACCAGTAAAAGACACAGGAAATTATTGCATAGATAATATTAAAGTCGGTCTTAAAGAAAGAGACTGTGGACTGGATTAATTTGACTTAGGAAGTGGCTGGTTGTAGTAAACACGGTAATGAACTGAATCATTTTTCTTAAAGTCTGTCTGTCTTTAGCATTTTATTTAATAGATTACAAAAACAGATTATCGGACGGTGCCTAGTCACAATACTACTCTTATCGTAATGTTATAAATTATTTGTTATCGTGTTTTGTTTTTTATATAATTCTTTTCGTTGGACATTTCTGTGAAAAATGCCAGATAAAGTTTTTAATAGAAACTCAGCATGCATCGTAAATGGCCAATGGCGATCAGCACAACGGATGTTCAGATGTAATGTTTTGAAGGGAATTGGAAATTTTGAAAAAAAAAAAACGGTCTTGACAGTCAACAGCAGTGTATCACCACTGAATGGCCTCCAGTGTTCAACTACGTATATGAAATTTTTTCCATGTTTCTCCTTCTGTGTCATATGCGACAAAACCACTCTGAAAAGTTTTAATTTATGTTGAATTTATATAGTTTTTCATCTTATAGTGTGTTTGATAATATTTGACCTTTGAATTTTGAGGTCAACGTCAGTGGTGTCAGAATTGTCTCGGGCCAGTGACCTATGCGATGGCGCCTGTCTAGCTGGGTAATGACGTCATCACTGGAGGACTCCCCGTGTTAATTTCCGGCTTGCCGGGGATTCCCCAAGCTGATACTTTTACCTAGTTACGTCCACATTCCAAATGTATTATGTTAAAGGTCTCCATTCGAATTATAAAAGATAAATTCCAGTGTTTGGCCCACAATACAGTGTCGTTAAACTGTCATCGACATATTAACCACTGTGAGATCCTCCGATCTCATGGTATGAGTCATTTACGGTATTCGATAGCTTCAAGTACAGAATCGCGTATCTGAGTTTTGTTACCTGAGGTCTGATGCTTTATTGCCGGTTAAGGGGTCATCATGTCTGGCGGTTGTGACCTATGTTGTCATGTAGGTCGGTGTCAAAGTTCTGTATAAAAACACCGCTTAAATTTCAGTGTTGAATTTCGCTGTGTTGATTGATGTATGTAAGCGTTGTTCTGTATTGTGGCCTTAAGAATACTATAAATTTGTGAAATAATCATTGTTTCAAAATCGCAAATGTTTATGATGATTTCAGTCCACGCATGAGAGGAATAAACGCTGATAAACTCTGTAAATTCTTATAAATTTATTGTCTTGTGTCGTCGAACATATTGGGAGACCCTTATTGTCGTCTTGTAGTTTGAGTACCAGAAGTGCCATTAATTAATAATCCCTCAGTTCGAGGCATAGTCGCGTTCTTAACCTTGCTTCTACATTTTACAAAGCGACGTTACATCACGAACAAGACGATATGACAAGGTCAAAGCTGAGTGATCCTGCTAGAGTGGGCCAAAGGTGCCGTAGACCAGAGCCCTTTTCAACCCACTTCATCACGTTCGAACGAAGGAAAATCTTGTCAGACACTAGAGTAAACAATGTTCAGTGCCGGAAAAAATTGATATTTTCTCTTATCCAAGAAGCGACTCATGAAATTTATATTGGTTAATTTAAAGCGTTGTCACGAGAAAAGTAAAGTTAGACACCTCAGGAGAAAATATAACGTGTAAGACCAGAGATTAGATGGGAGGAATATATTAAAATATAGCTTAAATAAATAGGGTGTGATAATGTGAAGTGGATTTATCCAGATGAATTTAAGGACTCACGGATGGCTAATGCAGACACGGTAATAAAGTTTTTGTTTTATGTAGGCGGGATATTTCCTTTGAATGGCTGAGCGACTGTTAGCTGAAAGACATTTACGAAAATACTTGTCTACATAATTTCTGTAATCATGTCATGAGGAACTGATATTCTCTTTTGTTCCTGTCTTGTATTCTACTCTGTATTCTGTTGATTAACAAACTTTCGTAACTTTTAATTAACCGGTTGTAGATTTCGTATTATATTTTCATTGTCTCTACAAGGCCTACCAGGCACTGATTCTTGCTCAGCTGCTGAATGCTGCTCTATCGTTTATAAACAGTGTTATTGCATGCGGTCTGCTAAATTCTCGCCAAATGACTGTATTATGAACCTACAGATTTTGAATAGAAAATTGTGTGGGTCATCACATCATCTCTTGTCGCATCAACTCGACATTTGAGTCTCATACTTCATGAAAGTGCAGGTTTACGTCTGTGACGATAAGAATAAAAGAATTACACTAATAATAAGGGGATAAACTGAAGAAAACTTGATTCAGTAGATGGGAGATGGTTACGTGTTATGTTTGTCGATATAATTAAAGTACTTTAAAAAGTCATTGCCCAATGTTTGAAGTATATTTAATAAAGCAACTTTTCGGGAGTTGTCAAATCAACTTGATAAATAGTAGTTTTAATCTTCCGTTTCAAGACTCATCCAACAATAATAATTTATAAGATAGTGTAGTGGCGTCATATTGTGATTTGACGGAATAACCAACTAATTTAATTTTAATTTAATAATAATTTATGCTGTTTTTGTTTCGTTCTCTTGCCTAGTATTTTGTTGACCGAAGGACACGTGTGGAGACACGAATATTTGTTTTAATAGTTTTCAAAATGCACTTGGAAATGCCAATAACAAGTTGGCATAGAGGCTTGAGCCACTGATTACAATAAATAAGGTACAAAAATTTAAATACAAGCAAGTTGTCTTAAACAAGAAACGACAATATCGGTGCTTTCCTCGAATTATGTTCCGTTTATTAGATTTTTTCTGTCAAAAATGTCGAAATATTCTTACCTGGGGTCTCGGGTTCGATTCCCGGCGGTGCCCGAATTTATAACTTGTGTTGGGCAAGGCCGTGGTCTAGGCAACACGGAGTTTTCCTCCGGGGGCTTCTTCCCCGGTTTCTCCGTGGCATCCCAACAATTACTCCATTCACACACAGAAGAAGGCAATGGCAAACCACTTCTGGATCATCTGCCAAGAACGTATATGAACAGGTCCCAGTCCGAGAAAAGGATGGAAGGATCCTGTTCATATGGACCTGTCGCCAGACAGGTCACTAAATAAATATAAATAAATTCAATAAGTCTTGTATTCAAATATTCGAATGGAGAAAAACGTTGATTTAAGAATTGTTTCTATGGCAATACACTGCTTCTTTTCATTTCCGCACAAGGTCACAATTAAGTGGTCATCTTTTCCATTAGGGTGAGTTTGGTGTTAAAAATAAATATGTAGGTGAATCTTATGGAGCCCATTTTCTTTCAAGTTCCTACATATTCCAGTCGACCTTAACCTGTACTTGGCTATTGCCCAGTTCGATATTAATCAAGAGACTGAAATGTTTGTAATGAAATTCTAGATGCAAAAATCTTGCAGCAGATAGAGCAATCTATGATGCAGCGCGATGTTTATTCGATCATGCGCATTTCGGCTTGCAAATAACTCAACTATCCTAGCGGAGGATTTACTAACTACACAATCAGACGCCATGCTGGATTTTCCACCACCACCCGCATCTTCAAAATCGATTTCATGTGACGTCGTAGTCTGACGTCACGGGCGTGCTATAATGTTTTGTAAAGGGGAGGGGGTTTATATCGAGTTGTGGACGTCGTTTCGGAGAGGAGTCCGCTGTCACCGCTAGCAGCAGTGAAATAGGGTTCTGTTTGAAACAAGCCATGTTGGTGACATGGGACATCCTCTCTGGGAACGTTTCTTCGTCAACGTGGAAGACTTCCATCCTCATCTACTGGTTCATGCTGGTCGTGTTCTTCACCAATCAGCAGGTTTCAGCAGAGGTGTTTACCAACTCGTTCCTTGTCAGGCTCCATGGGGAACCAGGCAACGAGGTAGCCCACCGGGTAGCCTCAAGGAACGGGTTTGAAAATCTTGGTCCGGTGAGTTTTATATGACTTAATGTATCAACTGGCTTTCGCAAACATCAATACATTGACGGTCACTTACGTAAGCAAGGCGAGTAGAAAGTACTGACAAGAAAACACATGCTTTTTCCACACTGCTCTGAAAATTGTAATTATGTGATAATAAGAAATATATGGTGAATTATCATGATGATATTATTATTTAAATCGCATGGGATTAGGTTAGAAATTATTTTTATATATGGGGTAAACTTGATTGATGATGTGGCAGTATTTGTTTAATGTTATCGAAAATAATTTATGAATGGCTTATGGATAAGTAGTTGCCATGATTGTATAATTAAGTAACTGAAACTGTACTTAATATTACGCCACTGAATATGTGATATCTTTGGTTCATATACTGAACGAAGTTTTTGATCAGTATTTATAATACTGGGTACTTAAATTATTTAATAGATTTATTTCAGTTGCATCTATGTGCCATTTTAATATTGTTTGTTTCGTAGTAGGGTACATCTTAATACGCAGAATTGTACAATGAATTTTTGCAATTTACTTCTGAATTTGAATGTCACGCTCTTCAACTTCGAGGGTTACCGAGATCGTGATGATAAGATCTGTGCATTACAAAGAAATGCGTAGGATGAGGTTCTGCTCCATTCAGAAGGAGAATACCCAACACATCTGAATCTGATTTTCCACTCTCGAAGTATCTGACGGATTTTAACTTCATTTTGTACGACAGTTTCAGAATGCGAAATATAAGGTGTTGAATGAATGCAGTTTTTTCTGAGACTTTCATATATAAATTTCTAGTTCTATTGAAGTAAATTAATACGTGTTGTAACAGAAACTTACGTAATAGTAATAATCGCGAAGGTATCTTGCATTATTTTTCAGTTGTCTTTCAATCTTTCTGAAATTCCGCGTGATATTTTAAATGTTATGTCGCAATAAATTAACATAATTATATTTAATAAAAAGACATTTCTGGAGGATATCTTATCAGTCATTACTACTTCCTGACAGTAAATAACTTGGATTATAACTGATAAAAGTTAGACCTCGTTCTTGAATGTACAAATATTTAGTAATGTAAATATATGACATAATTAAAGTACTATAGTATTTTGTAACAATTGTCATGAATTAAACGCTGCCAGATTTTGACATTTGGATACATTTCTAAGTATGTCAAACGTTTACATCTAAATTGTTGAATTAATTAGACATAAAATTTGTAATTGTTTTCAAACTAGAGTTAGTTTGTGCTTAAGAAAATGAAATTTATTCGATATTTGAATTTTTAAGGGTGATGGATTTTAAATTTTCGTATAGTAATTCCATATGGACGTATAAATAGATAACATTTCTGAGAAATATACTGTCTCCATCTTCAGGATAAACGGCGTTGCTATCCATAAGACTAATATCGAAAAAATTAACTAATACCTACTGGGAATATTGTATGTAGATATTTGCAGACTTCTGAAAAAAATCCTTTTAGCTGGAAAGTTCTAAAACTATTGGAAATATCAACTCAAAAAATAACTTAGTGACTCAGTAGCTATTATTAATAAGCATGCTGTACTGATTTGTATTCTTGGAGAATGAGAATTTGTTTGTGGTTGCCTCCTATTATTGTGTACAACCCCAATTTCCTATGGACTGTTTTGTTGACCTATTTCAATTATCTTGTGGGGCAGTCAAATGCCAGCAGTTCAAGGCTCGGCGACATGGCACAGGTACGGGGTTGACCAAATCGATACGTTAAAAAGTAGCGCCGAAAATTACGTTTATGGCCACGACCCTAATAATGGCTACAGCGCGAATATTATAAACTATGAAAGGAGTTAAGTCTGTATGCAAATTTTTACGGAGTGTCATTACTATAAAGTGAGATCATATGAAGTTTAATGTATCTAGGTCTGTAAAAGTCCTAGATTTACTGCTCATTATAAATTAGAAATCTGGAGAAAATTTGAATTTAACATTCCGCCGAAATATTCTTCTCAGTAACAGTAAATCTAGATTTAAAATTTAAATAAAGATAATACGTATATACAAAAACTAATTTTGTTGTTGAATTTGTAGTCTTAGACTCAGTATGTTCTAGAATATATGGATGATAATATAATATGGAAATGGATGATGAATTATAAAATAATTAAATCGAACAATTCCAGATTTTAATGATTACATTTTAAAGAAGGGATAATTGGTGTTTGATACAGGATATTTAAAACGTTAAGATATTGTTTAATTGTATTTTATAAAACCTTGAAATTGAAGACAACGCTAGATGAATATTGCTCATTGTCATCATTTGACGGATGAAAATATGTACGTCACCTGAAATTGATCAATACCAAGCGGAATATAAAAGTGTAAATATGCTTCCATACTCTCTAAAATAACTTTTGCATGTACATTATACTATGTGAGTAAAATAATAATTTGATTTGTACAGCACTCTTTGCAATGAAATGTAACATATACACTGAAATTCTGAATATTCGATTATAAAATTATCGACAAGTAATGATACGCTTTGTATACATATATCAGCTTCATAGAGATGAGTTTATTTGTGGAGTTGGTTCAGTACAAAGTTAAAAGCCCGAGCTAATGGAATGCTCTCTTTGTTTTCAGAACAATTCTCTAAACTATATAAACAACTTTACTTTATATTTGTCTTTTATAAAACCTTTTTTGTTTGTGGATAAACATTGAGCTGTTATAACTAAATATTTGAAGTGATATCGTGATATTACATTTTGTTTTATCACTTTCAATCTACGTTTTATATTTTGACTAGCTCTCGTTATTAACAAAAATGGGGCAGAAGGAAATAGGTTTCAATGTAGGTTTACAGTTGGTATCAAATAAAGATTGAAACGGTCTGAGCATCACAGCATCAGAATTTACAATTTTGCTAAGTATGGATTTAATTTTCTGGAGACCTACCGAAGCAAACGCTCGTCACTTCAGCACCGCAATATTGCATCTTGTTCTACACTTCACTGAGGCCACGAAACTGTTTGTCGGTTGGCAGTATAACTCTTTTCTCTTTCTAATTAATTGTGAAAGAGAATTCCTTGTAACTGACAGAAAATATTTATTTTTCTTGTTCCTTTAGTCTTCCAAATTTTAGGATTAACATGTTTAATTTTCTATCCTTACTAGTTTATGTTAAGCTTGTCTGTCAAACATTTTTATATATATATATATATATATATATATATATATATTTACATATTCTACTTCTCTTGATAATTTTTGCACTTTTATTATAACTAATATTTGATAGTTTAAATATATTTTCCCCCACATTGAGGTATAACAATATAAAGAAATAAATTTAGTTATTCTGTAGAATATTATTCATATTTAAGAAATTGGACGGAATTTTTTCAAAGCCAGCGCGCTCTTCGTGTTGAAACTGTTTTTGTTGTAGAGTTTTTTTTACAACTGTTAACATGTCAACTTTACAATTTATTCATGCTACGTTTAACAAGTAGTCTATTTAGAATATGCTTACAAATTGTAGTACAATTTCCAATAAAAAGATTTCGTGAAAATCAATTCTGCGTTTACCGAGTTGTTACGTGTGAACAGACAGACATATACTAGGGAGTTAATGGTCATATTCTTTTCAATCTTTTGTTGAAAAATCGTCTAATTATCGCAAAGGAAAGTGGTATGAAATGTTTAACCAGAGAAACAATCTCAGTGTTTAGAGAAATGTATACATTAATTTCTTTTTGAGCGTCAAATTAATGTAGACATTTTGAAATTACTTATATTGGATGGTAAAATAATATTTTTCTTCTCTCTTTTACAAATTAACAAACGTGTAATATCGAAACATGGTTATGTGTCTTCGTATTTAAAAAAAAATAGCAGTGCACTTAATGAAAAGCTGTTAGTCGCTCAGCTAGCCAAGAAAATCCTCCACTTTTGCGGAACCCAAAGTTCCATTATCATGAATATGGCTGCCTTCTGGGGTTTAGCCCCGTGTAGTCTGGTAGAATTTTACCGTCGTTTCGGATATTACTCTCCGCCTAGGCACTGCTTCTTGATGCATGTAAATACCAAATACATAGCTTTTTATATAAAACATTATATGTGATATTTATGGTTGTTTTGGCGGTCAAAATGTTGTTAATCTTCTGGCTTGTTAGAGGTTTAAGGAGACAATATGTTCCTTCATAACGATGGTATCTACCGGAATGTGAACACTGAGTTACAAACCAGAATACCGACGTCGACAAATAACGTATGGTTACCTTGTGGCGAAGTAGCGGTGGACATATTCTGCGTTTCACTTATCAGTATATTACACATATCGGATGGAACTGAGAAGTCTGAAAGATTTTATATTCCCTAAGTAGATATTTAAATTCGAGTGCTTGAATAATTCTGCAATGTCGTAAGGTCACTAATATTTAAATTTACTCTATGGAGATTATATAAAGGTGTATTTTCGCAAAAAAAAAAATTATTCCATTGCTTGAAATGTAATGTAATGCTATGCCGTACTAGATATTCCGTTAAACTTCAATATAAGATTCTAACGACTATTGCATTTTTTTTAGCTATCTCAGAATTTTATACAGTGACTTGAAAATTCTTAAAAGTTTCTTATTTGTTTAGACTTCAGTCATTAAAAACTCCGAAGCAAGTTTATGACTCAGAACTGCGTTGTAGCTTCGTATTGGTCCCAGTTGTCTGTTTACTGCAATAACTTTGTATATGAGTACATACACTATTTTAATACGGCCTTCAAAATTGCTTTTGGAGAATAGTTTGTCCGTGAGCTCTTATTAATGTTTACTATTAGTAGACCAAATAGAGAGTATATCTCTAGCTGCATTCATATAGTAGTTTCTATGTTGTACCTCCATGTTATTACAAACTATTTTACTTAGGATTATTTCTTTCCTGTTCTTTATTTGATTCCTTGAATCGATTGAATGTATTTATCCCGCCTATATAATACTTCAGAATTC